GTAGTCTTATAAATGAAGCAACTAAGGCATAGGGAGGTTCACAAGCTGTGGGCAGTTCCCGAGACTGGTAAGTATCAAACCTGGAATTGGAACCTTGAACTCAGTTAGGCTTCGTCGAAGCTCTCTTTCCTTTCTACCCAAGCTGTCCTCAGTTTGAAGCTTCTAATTTCAAATTTAGTGTATAGCCCAGGTTCCTGCCCTTGGGCCTCAGACACATTTTCCCTGACTGCTGATTCAGTCCTGGGGTGGCCGAAAGCTGAGCATCTGGAACAGCTAATCCTCATGGATTCATTCATCTCAGTGAGTCACCTTGACTGAGTCAGGCTCCTCAGATGAGAGAATTCAGTAGAGTTGCCTCTCTGGCCAAATGAGAGCACGTTCAAGAAATTTCACAAAATACACGGTGTATATTCGGACTCTTTGAAACTGAGATGTAAGCAATGCTATCTATGAAAACACTAGTAGTGGAAACAACACTCCCAGAAGCTGCTGGAGACTCTGGTTGCTATAGTACATACTCTTCACATATGTTTTCAGGACACAGAGCTACACTGTAGAAGTCTGACCCCTTTACTTACTTTCATTGTCAATGCTGGGACCGGCAGACCCATGGCGATCCATTTTCTTATCTAGAAGAGAAGAAGAAAGCATGAATGGAAATGAACCCTTGTGCTGGGAGCCTGTACCACTCCATAGATCCCAGATTGCCTGCCCCTCACTCTATGGACACAAAAGCATGAGTTCTCTTATCAAATGCTGGAAACAGAAGATTCTGCCCATAAAATATCCTTTGGCAACTTCTTCCCATCTCCCAGGAAGAGCTACTGAAGGATCTCTAACTTATTTAGTGACTTCTGGGCTATCAGATACCAGTGAATGCAAGCAATACCAACATTGGTAGGGGAATGTGAAATGTTTCTCCTGTTGACCCAGAAAATAAATATTTGTGTGAATGTGTGTAGCAGTCTTGGGAACATCATCCTTTGGCCCTGATGTGCCTTGCTTATAGTAGATGTTCATTAAAGGTTTGTAATCGGATTGGAACTATATAGAGCTGTTATGTTGGGGGAATGCTGATTTGAGCCATCTGCTCTCTAAGCAGCTGTTGAAACAGAGTTCTGCTGTGTGTATGCATAGATATATGTATAAACACAGTTGGTCTCATTTTCGTTCTGAATCCAGTAGAATATTTTGAAAAAGAAGCTAAGAGTTTAAATTTTCAGAAGTTTCCTAAGCATGCCATTTGCATGTTTTTTTTCACTCTCTATCTATGTAGCCAATTAAACTATGGAAATAGTGGGGTCCTGTTTTAATGGGAAATTTGTTTTCAACATGGGTCATAGTGTCAGACTTTGTGGGCTAGGCTGAATCGGCCCTTTGTGGACTGTGTGCTTAATCACAGCAAGAAGAACACCCAGTGATTTCCTTCAGGTGTGAAACCACAGATATGTATGGATTAGGAAGTTGTGAAAGAAAATAATTCACCCAGGGTACAGAATGCTAGAGGATGCGGCTTTGCCTTCATGAAAGAGTATGATATATCTACTACACATTTCACAAGAAAGGCAAATCTTATGGCAGAGAGCATCACTATTTTGGTGAAAGTATAATGCTCTCAATTCTCCCCCATCTTTTCTTTAAAACACAGGAACAATGAAGGGATGCTTGTTCTCTGATGAGTATTTTGAATCTAGCAGCCACTGATTGGATATATATTGGGTGAGTGAATGAAGAAAATAAGGGCAAGCCTGGAAGCTGATTTTTGTGCAGGGGGAGAAGAAGTAATCAGGGTGCAGAGACCCAAAGGAAAGTGAGCCCAGTGTGCAGGAGGGAGTCACAGACAGCTAGACACTGTTGTATCTGCAGTCAGCTATGGGGCTGCCTCTCCAGCTGCTTTGAATTTTAATGTGTGGAGCAGATGGTTGGTATAGATTGTCCTTGTTTTTGCCCAGGAGTCTGGCATCATTGCAGGTTGTCAACTTGTTTGGAGAACAGAGTTTGAGCCGGTAGATACGTCATAGAGCTCTGTTTTGCAAATAGGTTATTTAGTGGAGTGGAGGTAAATATGAGACTCTATGATTTTAGGCATAAGCCCATCATTTTTTCTAGGACAAAGTCAAGTCAACAGACTGGGGGATTATCTCAGGCCAAATCTGCCTGTCTAGCTGTCTCCTTCAACGTGGCCTAGTGAAAATATATGGAAGTTTTAAGTAAAATAATGTCTCTGCCTAGCAGCCTTATCTATGTCCAGAATGGCAGTAGTTACTCTTAGTCCCTCATGTCATGCCGACTCACTATCAACAACAATGACCTTGTAAGTATCTGTAAGCATTTCCTTACAATGGTCTGAGTTGGGAGGCAAGTTCATGTGCAGTCCCGTGCTTCCAGCTATCTTGGCATGGTTGCAGTTCTCCCTGGTGGCAGGTTCCAGAGGACGGTTTAGGTATCTATCCTGCTGGAGTAATGCCAGGAGGGAGCCACGTCTCCCATCAGGGTAGACCTCTGGAGCCGGATGCCTGTCAGGAAGGGCACGAGAGCAGGTCGGCTCTAAGAAGTCTTGCCTCTCTAGGGGGGACAACTGCCACATCTCTTGAGGATGCGCAGAAGGGGTCTTGGGCATAGACAGTGGGCACTGATCTATAGCTTCAGGACCACTTTCATCCACGTTGCTGCTGCTGGCACTATTTACAAGAGATGCTTCTGGCTGTGGTTTTGTTGAAGAAGAAGTGAGACGCCACTGATTCGGGGGCATGCTGCTATCTGGAAAAGATTCAAATGTCATGTTAAGTATTTTTTTACCAATGGCCAAAATAGAAGTAACTTCTTGTTTCTGATTCACCTATTATATGTAATTTATTTTTATTATTTGTTTGTGAGGGACTGATATATGTATAAGTGCAGGAGAATAGCCATAGCAGAGGTCAGAAAATAACTTTTAGGAGTCAGTTCTTTCCTTCCCTGATAGGTTCCAGGGAAGGAGCTGAAGTCATCAGACTTCCTTGGCAAGTGGTTTTACCCAATGAGCAATCCCTCCAGCCCCATAGTATATTTTTTGACTTGAAGTAAGCAGAAAATGTTTTGTAAAACCCACATTAACCACAGTGTTCATAAATAGCTACTGCCCCTCTAGATTTGTTTATATTATTTTTAGACTGATTTTGCTTCATTAAAATATCATGAATCTCATTGAGTATAGTGGAACAAGCTTATAAATTCATGCTCAGGAGACTGAAGCAGGAGGATTAATTTGAGTTCAATGCTAACCTGGGCTACACAGTGAGTCTAGAAGCATTCGGGCTAGAGCCTAAACACTGTCTCAAGAAACAAACAAAACAAATATCCTCCCACAGCAATGAATACAGCCAAATGCGAAGCTTTTTTTTTTCAAGTTACTAATTTTCATGTCATCACTTCCTTCCCAAGGATTTGTGCACAAGCTTAAGTCCAGAAAAAAGCTAAGTTAAAAAAACATTAAATATTTGTTATTTTGACTGACTCCAGAACGTCTGCAGAAAGGTACGATATGATTTAGAACAAGATCAAATGGAAGGACATCCCATGTCAGGGTGAGATTCAGAAGGCATAACTTTGTTTTAAAAATCAGTATCATTCTCTTTTACTTAAGGAATAACTTGGATTTTAGTTCTTTTTACTAAAGAAGTCTTTACATGGTATCAAGTTATTTGAGAGGAGATCAGCACATAGCTACTCCAAACACTAGCTTTTAAATGGCTGTATACTGTTCTATCGTAAGGCGCTAATGGACTAACGAAGGATCCATTTGTGGGCAGCTCAGTTGTTCCCATTTTTTCACTTATGTGACTAGCATCTCAGTGAACAACTTTGTGCATGCATCTGCATCCACATGAACATTGGCTCCTTAAGGAATCTTCTGTAATTAAGCACTTGATTTGTGGCCACTTGCTGCTATTGTTTAGCTCCATTTTATAGTTAATGCTTTAAATATTGCAAATGGAAGGGCTCCACAGAACTGTATAAGGAAATTAGTGCTTTCCTGTATTGATCTTTTCCACAAGTGTAGGAACGGAAACCTAATCTTAGACATGAAAATGGTAAGAAACTGAGCCATGGTAGCTAAGTATAATGGGCTGGTAGGGAAGTGAGCAAGAACAGTGACTGCTGGCTATGAAAGTAGTTGCTTGGGCCTCATCCTCCAACAGCAGAATGATTGGAATCAAAAGGTGATGACACCACTTCTACTTGTCAAGTTCATGCGGACTGACTAATAGGGATGGGATCTCCTTGGGTCCCTACTGTAATTGCACCTAGGATAGCGGCCGACTGTGAGATCTCAAATGTCTACCACAGCTCAGAACATGAATGGATGTTTTTCCATTTTCTGCATCCACTTAGGCAAGAGGGGCGAGGGAAGTTTTGCCAGATGGTACTTACAGCCTGGAGCCTCTCATCTATCTAAGATAATGGAGAAACGGGCAGGGAGGGGGAGCATGGCTGTGATGACAAAGGAGAATTAGCTAGCAGGGAGGCTTTCTGAGACACTGCATCCTTTTCCCCGCCATGGGCTCCTCTTTGCTCTCTCCTGAACGTTTAGTTTGAATGGATTTTGTATAAAATGAAAACCATCTTAGAGGCCAGTGCAGTTTTGAGAGAGTGTCCCTCCCCCCCCCCCAGTAGCTTTGCCTGTGAGGTGGATGATAAACCTAAAAGAAGCCAGATCACATACGACACAGGTGTCTGCTCAGCATCTCACTTCCCTCATAATGAGCAATGGTTGCATCAGACTCTTCCAGTGAAACAAAAGACAGGGAAACATAGTGGGATATATATTGCTGGAGGTAAATATTACTTTTGAAAGTTGATGTTTCTAGCTACTAGCAACTCAGGGCACTGTGTGCCCAGGAACAGAATGATTAAACTGATTTCATATAATCAGTGTCCATGCTTCATATTTAATGGGAGTACTGCATGTCCTAAGCACAAATTATAAACAAAGCCTAGCCTCTGACAACTGGGCACTTTCCGTCTGGACTGGCTTTACAGATCTCATACATATGCCTCAGGTGATCACTGGGTGTCTGGAATATGGAAAGCAGGGCCCCAGAGAGCTTTGCTTATTTCTCTTAACTCTTTCTGTTCCAGTTAAGGGCAGTTAGGCAATGTGCCATTGTCCAATATCCCATGTAGTCACTGGGTGTGCCACAGTACAGTTTAGATGGAAGAATATGGGAGTGCACAGGTGTTTCAACCCTGAAGTCATAGCACCCCAATAATTGCAAGTGGCTGACAGACCCACTTTTTGAGATCAGGCTTGGATGCTTGTGGCCCATTTAGTGGAGACCCTGCATTGGAAGGGCCTTCTTGGGAAGCTATGCCTGGAACATAGCGGTTCTGGCGACATTTTCCAATGAATGTACACACATATATTCAGCCACAAACATTAGAGCATATGAATACACCCAAACACACATATAAATACATATAAATTTGCAAATATGTATATACACTCACAAATGTGTGCATGTATACATACACAATACACACACCTCTTCACTGATTCTTTCTACTTTAATGCAAGCAGGGACCTTGGCACTTTCCCACAGTATTGAAGCTGGAGGAATGAAAGATTGCCATAACGTGTGTGTGTGTGTGTGTGTGTGTGTGTGTGTGTGTGTGTGTATTTTTTTTTATTTATGTGTCTTTGGGTATTTTGGTTGCATGTCTGTCTTTAGATATGTACACACACACACACACACACACACACACACACACACACTTACACACTTACACACCCCTTACAGCAGGAAAGTCCAACTTCTGGCTCTTTGTCCGTGTAGCTGGTGACACACGTTTCTCCATATTTTATTCACCCCAAGGACAAATATACATGCTCTTTGAAGTAATTAATGGCAAACATCACAGCACAATTAGAGGATCAGCTTAGAGAGACAGTCCTATTCTGGGACACTGATGAGGCATGCTCAGTCTTATCCTCTTTTTCCTGGTCACTTCCCCAGGACACCTAGTCTCTCTTTGTTAGATAACCAGGTTCCTTTACCTAACTGTGTTTAGATGCCAAATGTAGACTTGAATCTTCAGGTTGAGTGGCTGACAGAACTGCACAGGGAGTTCTACCTTTGTGGTAAGATCCCAGACAGGTAATTGGACTATGCAATTTCCTCAGCAGAAATATGGGCACAGTAATCAATAAGGTTGGTGTGAAGATACAAAAGATAAGCCATATGGCCTGGTGTTGATGGCGCACGCCTTTAATCCCAGCACTCTGGAGGCAGAGGCAGGCGGATCTCTGTGAGTTTGAGGCCAGCCTGGTCTCCAGAGCCAGTGCCAGGATAGGCTCCAAAGTTACACAGAGAAACCCTGTCTCAAAAAACTAAAAATATAAAAAGATAAGCCATATGACAGATTCCAGCAAAAGGCCTTCACATGACAGCGTGGTGACTCCCATCCCCCTTGGGTGAATGGAGCTGTCACTTGGCAGATAGGAAGTTTTTTGAGAATGACCACAGAGACTCTGCAGTCTCAGATCAGCACCCCTCACCTTCTCTTAGCAGCCCTTGAGCATGTTACCAGGTCTGAGAATGCACTTGGTACTGGGGCTAGGAGGAAGGGGACAGAAAATCATGGGTTAGGACAAGCCCCATGAGCACCGGGACCATACCCTGCCTCGAGAAATCAAAATTTCCCCAGATACTGATTCTGAAGTCCCCAGTGTCCTCTAAAAGAGGAGATAATTCAAATATCTCCAGCTATTTTCTTTCCCAAAGTACACACATTGTATATTATACACATGTAATTAAAAGAAATAAATAACTCAGACTTCGGGGAAGAAGCCAGGAAATTTGGTGGCATTTCCATATAGGTCTCTGTGTTTGGGCCTTGCATATTTGGCTTGACAGAGTGCCTTTAGAATGTGGGCAAGTCTTCTATGGGTACCCATGAATGGGGGCCTGTTCTCCTTTGCTTGGCTGAGTGATGCCTCGGCTGCCTGGGGTTGGCTTGAAGGGGTTAAGAGAACGCTAAGCAGCAGTCAGTAATGAAAGGCCACTTCAAAAATCCCCACCAGGTTTGAGGCTGGCTGTGTGTCATAGAACACCACCAGTGAGAAACTCTGGACTTCTTTCATGGGGCCCTTCCTTGAGGCAACCAAGCTTAGGGGAACCTGACTCCTATCCACGATAAGAGAGGCCTTGAGGGGACAGTCTTTTCTTCAGTTGCTCAGTTAGCTAATGAAATACTTGCCTAGTCCCAAACCAAATGAGACAATGTGTAAGGGGTCTGTGAGACTGTTGTAAAGAAAATACAATATCCATGAAACTAAGTGGAGAAGAAAGCCCTCATCTCTCTTTGGCCCATGGAAAGTAGCTTGCTAAAGAAACAAGGCTATGACCAAGGTCCCCTAGTAGGCAGCAACTCCCTGGACTCATACAGGGTGAGGTCACAAGTGCCAGAAAACACTAGAACAGCCACGTAGCAAAGCCCCATATAACATGAAAGCTCATGGGAAGGGCCTAATGCTCTCTGATCCTAATATTTTGAATGGAGGCCATCATATCCATAATAGTCATTCAAAACAGCATGGCACCACCCCCACAAACACAGAGCTTGCTACTTGTCACTTGGTATCCGTCTCACTGACTTCTTGAAAACATCCTCTTGTAGTTTAATGATTGTCCAGTTTAGCATCAAGGAAGCAGGTATAGGCAGAAGCAGTGACAAGCCATGAGATCACACTGACAGGGAGTAGTAGAATTCCTCGGCATCAGGCTGACTGGCTCTAAGGTTATGCATCACAAAGAAGTCCTTCTCTGTGGTGACCTTATCTGTGGACTCGATGTCATTTGTGTTCTCTAAAACTCCCATTGGATCTTATTGGATCTTAATATCTCTTGTGAGGTATTAAAAGGTACAAAACGTAGTCAGTCTATTGTGATACAGTAGGCATTTGGAGGAGATGATTAGGGGTTCAATAACATCCTCAGAATTGGTACTGCATGATTAAACTATAGGTGGCTTTATGACAAGGAGAGAAGCCAGATAATACCCCTATTTTCCTGGACCCTAGCTATGTGAGTCACTGCATTGCACTGCCTTGTGACTCTGTCAATAAGAAGACAGTAGCAGAAGTGGGCCCTTGACTTTGGATCAGAACAAGGTATCACGTACTCATAGGCTGGCCTTGAACTCCTCATATAGGTGAAGATGACTTTGAACTGCTAGTCTTTCTGCCTCCATCTTCCACATGCTAAGGTTATAAGGATGTGCTACTACACCCAGTTTTTGAGGTGCTGAAGCTCAAATCCAGGGCTGCAGGCATGCGAGACAAGTACTCTACCAACTGAGCCATCTCCCCAGCACAAATCCCTTTTTTTTCTGTTACATATCCAGTCTGTGTCATGATGCTGTGCTCCAGATCACAGTTCCATTCACCCAAGCAGTGTCTACTTAGTGACTTCTGTGAGTCAGGCATCATGGTAAGTAGTCAGCAAACAGCACTTACCAGCTTGAGTATCACTGCCATATGCTCTTACACATCATTCTAATCCACAAGATCCTTGGAGAAAATCACATCGCTTACCTAGAAAATTAACCTCTAGGAAAGACATAAATTCTGCAAAGGTCAGCACATCACAAACACACTGATGCCTTGTCTGCACTGGAAGAATAAAGGCAGGATGGTGGAATCTGAAAATAGATGTCCTTGCTTACAGACAGTGACTTCACGTGTCTACTTGTATAAACCGCCCGACTAGTGACCCACACTTCAGCATATGGAATCCAGCATATGTGCTTGGCCACAGAAAGAGTGAGCTCCTAAAACCCATTAGACCTCTGTCCGCAAGAACATGTCCAGAAGATGAAAGGGACCACATTGCCTAACTCCATCAGGCACAGGAGTCACAATGTCTAGAGTCCAGGAATACTTTTAGAAATCCAGAAAATCTTATTTTAAAACCAAAAAGATCATGAAACCAGTACTCCACATATGAAAAAAAAATGCATCCAGTCTGGGTAAGTTCATTTTTATAAAAATGCAATTATAAATTATAAGCTTTATGGAGGAAGGAACCCACAAAGGCCAAAGTGCCTAAGATCCATGAAAGGGTTACCATGCCCCCTGGTCCATGGCCATGCCTTTCCTCAAACAAGTATTGTAATAGCACATGTGACATGGCTCTCTTGAGCAACAGACACCCCTGACCTTGTGAGGGGTGGGAGAGGGATGTGGCAAGACTCCTCGTGGGCCTCTCTCTGGCTTTGCTCTTGCTTGCCAGATCATCCACTATTGGCTGGCAGGAGGCTGGACTGTCCTTTATCTTATCTTGGATCCTCCAGTGTTCTTGCCCTCAGGTCAAAAGTAATAACAATACGGGCTGATGAGGTGGTCAGAGTGGACAACAGCAGAGCTCTTACCCTGTGCAGAGTAGCAAACTCAGCACAAACACAATCAAGGAAACAAAGACAGGTGAGATCAGTTGACGAAGCACTGTCCATTTCACCCTGAATGTCTAAGTGGTGTGGTTTCTCAGTAGGCAGTATGATTTGCCTTTACCAGATACACAGAGAGCAGAGAATATGGAGTACCTCAAGAGCTGGTCTTTTGGTGAAGGTCTTCTCCCACCAACACTCACCATTCCTGAGGATCACATTTTCTCCATGGGTCAAGGAACTCCATCTCTGGGATCTCTTGAGGTTGCTCAGAGCCCTGGAGAAGTGCTCATCTACCACACTGCTGATGTCCCCTTGGAAGTAACTGAAAATGACGCACCGGGCGTTCCATTCAGTCTTTACTGGTTTTTGCCTGCTTTTGGGCATCTGTACACACATCTTCTTTATTTTGTCCATTGTGAGTGAGTGACACAGGCGAGAGCTGTCAACCAAATAAAAATGTCAGCTGGGAGGTGGTAGCACACATGTTTAATCCCAGCACTTGGGAGGCAGAGGCAAGTGGATCTCTGTGAGTTTGAGGCCAGCCTGGTCTTCCATACCTAGCTCCAGGGTAGCTAGAGCTGCTACACAGAAAAACCCCATCTCAAAACAAAACAAAACAAAACAAGTCACTGGCCCTATTTCACCAAGTGGCTCAATTGAAGTTTCAGTGAATGGCATTCTTTTTCTTTCGTTTTAAATTGATACTTGAGAGTTTCAGAAGGACATTTTCATATGGATACATAATATACTTTGACTATGTTGTCCCCATTCTTTTTTTGCAGCTTTTTTATTTGAATTAGAAACAAGATTGTTTTACATGACAATGCCAGTTCCCTCTCCCTCCCCTCCTCCTTACCACCCCACCCCAACTATCACATATCCTTTCTGCTCCCCCTGGATGGTGAGGCCTTCCGTAGGGTGTCATCAGTTGCCCCCATTCTTAAGGATAAACAGTTTGCTCCTACAAGCACAGGTCCTCACAGGGTTCTTGGAAAACATCAAGCCCAACAATATACTGAGGGCTCAGGAAACAGCATTCCATACTGAGGGCTCAAGAAACAGCATTCCAAAGGTCAGCCAAGCACTGATAGTAGCCTTCTCTTACAAAAGGGGATTATCAAGCCGCCACACTAGAAAAGCTCCGGGAGAGAAGAGGTGACAGAGCACCGAGGCCAAATAACAAAGTGATTTGCCTTCTAGTTCCTCCCAAATGCATGAGCCAAGGTCAGTCCAGAGCCAAGCCAGGTAGATTCCCTCAAGAGCTGGACCAAGCCATCCAGGGTAGGCTAGATACTGTCCACAGCACTGCTTTCCAGCCTGACCACTTCCATGTAGGAGAGTAAACCACACCAAACTTTCCCTGAAAGTGTCCTGCACAGAACCCTGTCCATCTTAGAAGCTAGCAACCACAGCAGCACCATTTTGAAGGGCTTCAGGCACCCAAAAGAGATCTCCCAAACCCACTTTTTTTTTTTTCGAGACAGGGTTTCTCTGTGTAGCTTTGGAGCCTATCCTGGCACTTACTCTGGAGACCAGGCTGGCCTCAAACTCACCGAGCTCCACCTGCCTCTGCCTCCCGAGTGCTGGGATTAAAGGCGTGCGCCACCAATGCCTGGCCCAAACCCACTTTTATGACAGTATGTTATAGGCACATTAGTGGAAAGCTAAAGTCTATATGTTCTGTTCGCCACTGCTCAGCAGCGGTTTGCTGTATTGCCTTGTACTCAGACTGCTTTGTTCACAGCAGCATTCCCAACCCTATCATTTCCTTCACACACCTCCTTCAAGTTAGCATCTCTGTTTGCACCAAGGCCAGGGCCTGGCCCCCTTTACCAGGGGAAGTAGCCTCCCTGGGACAGCTTCTTTACCTTTAAACTCAGCCAGACTTGCTGTGTACTCTGGTTGAAGATTTATTACATCCATCCAGTCTATTGACTATAACAAAAATGAGTGGGGTTTAGTAGATTGCCTCTCTGTGTAGTCTATAAGATCCTACATATCATGGAGCCTTTCTGACAAATATCTTGATGACCGATCACAATTTAGTGTTCAATAAACAATGGCTGAATGCCATTTCACACAGTGAGAGTACAATGCAAGGAAATCATAGATTAGAAGTCAGAAGGCCTGAGGTGGAGGATAACAAATCCATCTAGACTTCCTATTATTCTTAAAAGGATTTGAATAGTGTGAATTCTTCAGCTAGTCTTATATGGTTCTCTTATTTATGGTTAGATTATGCTGGGGCATTGGGAAGGAATCTGGCAACAAGCAGGGAATCTTTCTAATTTGTTTTCTTTTGTTTTGCCTTTCAAGACAGGGATTCTCTGTGTAGTCCTGGCTGTCCTGGAACTCGATCTGTAGCCCTGGGTGGCCTTGAACAGGGATCTTTGTAAAAAGCTCTCCTTTCAGATTATTCTACCTCAGCCATGCACACACAATTATCTCTATGTAAGCATTCATGACAGCTGTGTTTGCAATATTCCCCCAAGGGAAACGGATTAAATACATTTTCTGTGATGTGTTCATACCATGGGATATTACTTCGCAATAAAGTAGACCAAACTACCACTATACACCACACAGGTGGATCTCATTATATTGAGTGAAAAGGTCACATAAAGACCACATATTATGTGCTTTCACTTATATGAAACACACACAAATAACCTATGGTGCTAGAAGCTAGCATAGTGGATGCTTGTGGCATAGAGACTGAGGAAAAGGGGCCAAAAGGAACCCTCACCACTGTTGCCCATGTCCCATCTCTTTACCCACCAGTACATGAAGTTGTATAGCAAGGTCTCTCTACGCTGCCCAGGCTGTTCTCAAATGTATACTCCTCTTGCCACAGACTCCTGAGAACTAGGATTACAGGCACTGAAATACCCCGTGCTTGGCCATGTCTTGCCTTTGTATTGATGAGGGTGGCAGTTGCTACATTTGTTAAAACTCATCCAATTGTACACTGATGATTTCTTTCACAGGAGGTGAAATATTCCTCGATAAAAACACGATGCATATTCAGGTTTTTGGAGTTGTCAATACAAAGAAAAGGTATTGGGGATAAGAAAGGAACAAGTATGTGGAGATGGTAGTATTTTAAAGCTACAACCTATGCAACACCTTTTTGTGCTAGAAGCTGTCCATGTATCTTCACCAGGGTTTTGACCTTCAGAGTAGACATTATCACCCCCATTTTTAAAAAAGCAAAGTAGATGTTAGAGGAGGTGAAATAAAGCTAGATAATGGCAAAACTGGCATTTCAGGTCTCTTGGGCTCTAGCCTCTACCTTCTTCTAACTATTCGAAGTGATGAGTGGAAAAGTTTCTCTCCCTCTTCTAGTCTCCATCTCTCCATCTATCAAATGTGGGGATGGGGTACACCTCTAGTCCTCAAATAGCTGTGAGCCAGGACACTAAGGCAGCCACCTGGAGTCTCTCAAGGAATGCAAGCAAAGGCCCCAGCCTTCTCCTTCAGGCTTTCCTTGAAGGCACAGACTGACTGACACAGCAGCAGGTGTTGCTTTGTAGGACAGTCCTCTAGGGCTTTACCTTGCCAGCAGCTACTGTGCTTGGCTCAGGCTTCACACAGCTTGCAATCTCTTAGGCAATTTTGCCTGAAGATACAGAGAAAAAAACTAGCCAGATTCTTGGGATAGCATGGCCACAAACACATTTCTAGTCTCTCTGGGTATAGACTAAGAAAGCACACAGCACATGGCCATACCAGGGGAAAGCCAGAGATCGTTCCAGCTCACTTGTAGAGCTCATACTGTAGTCTGGCACAGACCTTGAATCAACAATTCTGCCAGTGACCCTCTTTCCCTCTGCACTGGTAGGGATACACACTCAGCAAACAACTTCCCTGAATCCAGCCTACTAGGAATTCTCTGGGCTGTGCATGACTCCATTGAAAATTGCAATTGATGGACATTTAAATCCAGTGAGTTAATCTGGGTGTTATGACATATCCATGTGGTTCCAGCACACTGAGGAGGTTAGACCAGAAGGACCACTCGGACCACTCAAGCCTAGGCATTCAAGACAACACTGGGCATCACAGTGAACCCCGACTTAGAAAAATGAATAAAAGATTCTAAAAGGATACACAATCTGATAATTGTCATTTGGTTTGATTTTTTGTATTTTTTATTAGTTCAAATTAGGAACAAGCTTGTTTCACATGTCAATCCCTTCTCTCTCTCCCTTGCCTCCCCCACCCCTCCCCCCAAGGCTACTTGGTTTGATTTTATTTAGCACTAAATTTCACCACATCCCTATGAAAATCTTGAGCACCTCATCTTCCAATGAGAGAGGGATGGTCTGACTTGGGTGAAAAAGACACTACAAAGCTGACTCAAAGGAGAGATCAGGAACAAAAATAAAGATCCAGAGTATTCCAAGTAGATCCTGAAATATTATCCAAACTACTGTAGAACATCTCAGAAGAAGAAATCCAAAGCCAGAAGTCTAGCCTTTAGTCTGCCATGCGGACACTATATAGACACTTTTTCCACACTCCTGCAAAATGCATCAAGTAGTCCTAGGGTGGGATGCGCAGTCAGTGGCAGTGGTTGTCATGGTGATCAATTGAAGCAAAATCCCCCCCCCCAAAAAAAACGGCCAGATTACATCTCACTTAGCACAGTCTATCAAGACCTCCAATTCACTCCCACACCAATTTCCATCTCTCTTCCCACTTTCAAGTCCCCAGCTTCTCTTACCTTTATTCTCTGCAGTGACCTGAGACAGCAAAATCCTCCTGTTTTGGAGCAGCTCAACAGCCGTGGAAGCAGGAGCTTGGGATGAGTACCCTCTCTCCCTTTGAGATTATCTACCCCTCTAGCTGGGGCTGTGCAAGGCGTTTCCTGCTAGCTATCTATTAAGAATGCAGAAAATGCACTCCGGCGAGTCAACCTGGTTGGGCACCTGCAGGAATGAGGAAAAGAGATAGCTATTTTTTATTTCTTTATTTTTTCATTAAAAAGCACGTTGTGGTATTGTCTCCTCAACTGCAAGCCAATTGTTTGCCCAAAACATGTGTGCACAAAATCAGGTACAGCTAAGACATTGTTGTGGGGGTTCCATCAAACTGACGTCACAGCAAATTTCAGGAACTGTGAGTCCACATAGGTTATCTCCTGTTTCTTCCTCTCTACTTGAGAAAAAAAGGGGGGGAGTAGGGGCCCCTCAAATTCTGGTCTTGTCATAGCCTTCCATGGGCTGCAGAGGGAGCAAAGACTTTTCTGAGATTGCAGTAGACAGAGCAGGGACATCATAGGAGATTAGAGCAGGGGGTTCCTGTCTCCATTTGAAAAATATTTACTAGTGATTATCTCAGTAAGTGGCGCCATTTTGGCCTCAAAACTTGGATCTGTTCTTTGATCCTATGTTAAGCAGTTTTCTGAGTGT